TTTTGAGGCTGGCAGGATCCATAGTTCTTGCAGTGGTGAATGATGTTTACATGCAGCATACTTAACTGCATGAATTTTGAAATACTGGGGTGGAAAGATAAATACTAATGCTAGAGCCACCTCTGTTAGCTTGATTAAAATATGTACTTTTTCTGCCCATGTTGAATAAAAGCAAGCATGGTTAAATTATATTTGCCCCCTCTCCCCATCCTATCTTATTTTGTCAGAGAATCTCTGTTTTGATTCCAGGTCTAGCAATGTTTTCCAAGTCTGATGTCCACTGAGGAAGCCAGCAGTGCGACTGCGGCAGTGTCTTACTTGCTGTGGCTGGTGCCAAAAGGGTCAACAATGGAAACACACAGAATCTGTAAGCTGCTCTTTCCATTGTCAGTTAATTTGTTTGGATCTTGAAAAGGAGTTTGTGCAGTTACCTGCTCAGTACCTGTTCAACTGAACCACTTTTTGAAGCATGTGCTTGATAGTCAATAGCCAGTCAATTGTGATAAGTAGAGTTCACCTTTGTGTGTGATGCATTAAAGCATTGTTCTTCAGGATTGTGTGAGGAGGCAACCAAGGTGCATTCATGAAAAAACTAAATTTCACACAAATAATTGCGGGTTTAATGTACTGATGAAGGGAGCAGTCTTCAGGCACTGGTTCCTGATGTTTTCAAGTGTGTTTTTTGCATTCAACCTAATTTCATTGTGATATTATTTATGGTTGTCATCTGTCTCACTATGTGTCATGCCTGTATTGTTGTTTTTTGCAGTGTATTGGTGTGATGACATTATGACAGCGATAATGTCACCTGCTGCAGCCCGATCCTCACAGTCCTCTGGGCGCTGTTGCAGAGCTTTCCTCGGCAGGAGGAAGTAAGTTCTCCAATCCCTGTGATGTTTTTATTGTGCCGGCCAACCGGCTGCATGGCTGCTTGGATCGCAAATAGTGATTTGCCCTCTTCTGTGCCTGCTGTAGTAGCAGGTGGTGCTGCTAATGCTGACCATTTCGCGGCAAGGGCCACATGACTGTCAGTGGTTGGTGGTGCGGCAGACATCGCTGAAACAGTATTTCTGATGGGCTCATTCCAATTAGAAGCCACAGGTCTAGCAGTGCTTGGATCCCTATGTTACAATTGGGTGGAACACAGTTTATACTTAAGTTTAGTTATGGTGAGTCTTGATTGGAACCATCATGAGCAGCTTAACCATGGCTGAATTGATAGCCAAGTGGTAATCATAACAGGACAGGGAATGACTCGGTTTCCAGACACGTGGTGTCTCACTGCCGATCGGAGGTATGCCTATCCCAGCTACTGCCATCGGATCAAGTGACATCTTTTGTAGGAAGCTATGTCGAGTGACTTGTATGACAGCTTCAGATTTAGAGCCCTTGCATAGCCGAGCTTGTCGCCGTTGTTGGGAGCCAGACATGCAGGATGGACCGACTCCGATAATTTGATAGTTTCTCCTTGGCCTTTCACCAGACAGGATGTCAGAGGGTTTAGCGTATGGTGGAGCGCTGCGACGCGGCCGTTCCGGGTTTGGTTGATCCCCTGGCCAACTGCGAGCTGACCTTTCTTGTGCCGGACAAGCCAAACAACGCACCGGTCGGAGGCTCGTATCGAGCACTGCTGAATTACCAGTACAAAGCATTTTTCGCGTTCGCCATGCAGGCAGCAAAGGAGAGGCTAAAACGTCGTCGGACCATTCTGAATATTGGGCATGTGGATTGTCCCAAAACTGTCAGATCTTCTCTATTTTTCGACAAACAGGAGGGTAATCGTTCAAAATCTGCAGCGAGGACCAGGGTGGCGTGCCCCAATTTCCGAAGCTGGTCGCAATAACGGGTGTTCCTGATTGGTGGTAGAATGCGGCGTGTCAGTGCTTCATGAGAATTGCACGTACTTGTCAAGCGCGTCGTACGCCCGTCAAATACAATTCAACGCATGTTTGTGATGATAGTGAAAACATTGTGATAACCGACCTCTCATCATCACAGTTTTGCGGTGTTAGTTTATCATTTTGAGTTGATAAGCCGCTTTTGATGAATGCAGCCCACAGTATAACTTGTTGTAACCTCCTATAGGTATCTCATTATTCCTCGAAGGAAGCCGATGACGTTTTTTTGCCAGGCAAGCGCTGTATTTTACTTGTAGTCTTATAGGTAGATGCTAGACTGTTTCAGGGGGGTGGAGCGGGGCAGGACCAGGGAGGGGCTCCTGCGCGTCCGCCGTCGGCGCAATCTCCTGCATGCGTTTGAGACATGGCTCTCGGTTTTTGGGCACGCTGAGTGTGCTCGCTAGACATTGTACAGGCTGCACCTGGCACTGGACGGTGGCGGCGACTGGGCGTGTGAGACCGCCAGCGTGGCACTTCTGCCCGCCGCAGCAATACGCGGAGCAGCAGCGGCGCAACCGACGGGCCGGCCATATGTCCGAGCTGGTGCGCGACTTCCTGGCGCCGGCCGATTTCCACCGCGCCCTCGTCGACGTCGGCATCGACTTCTTCTGCGGCGTGCCCGACTCGCTGCTCAAAGGTGCGGTGTGCCCGGGTGTCTGTGCAAAGGTGTAGCCCCACTCCCTGCTCTCGAAGATATGTCCGATGCCGTGATCATGTGTCCGACTCCCGGCTGGAAGGCGTGCTACAGACGCCCCAACCCCCCTCTCTTGATGTCCGATGCCGTGGTCGTGTACCCGACTCCCGGCTGGAAGGCGTACCACAGACGCCCCCCCCCCCCCCCCCCTTCTCTTGATAAGGGATTTCCAACCGTTTGCAGATGCGAGATTCCTATTTCCCAGTGAAATGTGCGTTAAAGATATACAGGCGGGTTTCGACTCCGTCTATCAGTTAAGCCTAAACTTCTACTCAGAGTCTCTCAGTCTCTGATCACGGGCACGCCCGCCACTCCCATCTGTCAAGACTTTCTGCTTAGAGTCACCCAGTCCTCTTTCAAAGGTATAGATGGCATGACTTTCTGGTGAAAAATTACGCCGGACGTTTTACATACGTACGCCTGCACCACACGCACGCCCGTACCGGCTGAAACACACATTGATATTCTCTTTGACCACGCCCTTTCATTGCTAGCCTGTCTGTATGTCATCGACGGCGGCAAAAGGACTTTAAGGCATTTGTATTTTTTCTCACATGCTTTTTTCCGAGACAAGCACAACACTGTCACCAAGCGAAACAGGCACGCTTGCTTACTGAGTCAGAATAGAACACAGCTACAGATCATAGCAAAGTTATCATAATATATCACTTGACACACCAAAAACAAAACTATCACAATGTATTTTGAATTAGATAAACTATGCTAACAGCGCTCACATCTAAGTTCTTGACGAAGTCCCTGATATGGCTGACTCAGTTTGACATGACCTAGATTTGCTCGGCATTAATGTCACAGCTTTTATGCCACGAATGTTACGATGTTCGATGATAGAGAGTTCGAAGATAGAGAGATGAAAATGTTCGAAGATAGAGAGTTCGGTAAAAAAGCAAATATAGCTCTCTTACCGAAGTTGTTCCTACTATCGCCGTTGGTGAAACAGGCGGCCTCCAGCGGCGCACGTCAAAGCTCGCGCCACTCGCCACGTCATCTGATCCCGATGCAGAAGGGTTCACCAAGCTATACTAGTGGCCGCGCAGCGAGGTGGCGCCTCTTGCCGGTAGTTCTTGCCGCTGCACCATGCATCGACGCTGTTCGGGTGCCATCTACGGAGCACGCAGAGCAGCCATTGTGCACGCAACTCTGTGCCTAGCCTGATACTCGCGATCTGGCAGACTTCTGCGCGTACATCACGGCCAGCGTGGCCGAGTCGCATCACGTGATCGCGGCCAACGAGGGTTCGGCGGTGGCGCTGGCGGCCGGCTATCACCTGGCCACCGGACGCACTCCGCTCGTATATCTGCAGGTGAGAGAGCTCGTGCCAGCCGCCATCCTAGCTGGGCTGTGTGGCAGGGGCGTCACCAGGATTGGGCAGCCTGGGTGTATCCAGCTCCATTGGGGGGGGAGATGGTCCAAAATTGTGCTCGAGGTGAGGAGTGACCGATGATTTGGTGACCAAACATTCTGACTAGCTAAGCTTCACTCGAGCGATGTAGAGTCAGTCATGCCCCCCCCCCCCCCCCCCCCCCCACCGGCTCATTCTCCACCGGTGAATCGGTGACGGCCCTTGCCTCCGGCCGTGAACTCGCAGAGACTCGCATCGGTTGCTCAGAATGGCCCGATAGGGGCCGATCATGGTTCATTATGCGTATCGGTACTTAGTTCCTTGAATTGAGTGAGAATTTTGCGAAGTTAACGTATCGCTATGTTCACTGCCGGCTGAACCGGAGTTGTTAGCCTCTGCGCCGTTGCGGCTGTGCTGACCGCATAGTTTGAAAATCCGGACCTTTCTCTGCCATTTTCGCTGCATTCTTCGTGTCTGTTGTAATGTGCTGCCCGCCACGCCCGAGTCGTGTTTAGGAAGCCGTGTTCCCAGTCCGGCCGCGTCTGGCATGGTTGCATCTCTCTGAGATCTGGCGCCGGCAGAACTCTGGCCTGGGCAACGCGGCCAACCCGCTGCTGTCGCTGGCCTCGCCGGACGTGTACAGCTTCCCGATGCTGCTGCTGATCGGCTGGCGCGGCGAGCCGGGCAAGCGAGACGAGCCGCAGCACATGGTGCAGGGACAGGTCACACCCAGATTGCTAGGTCAGTCCCATGGGTCGGCCAGCCGCAGCAGATAGTGCAAGGCCATACCGCACCCAGCCTGCTTTGTGCAGGGACAGACCACACCCAGATTGCTAGGTCAGTCCCATGGGTCGGCCAGCCGCAGCAGATAGTGCAAGGCCATACCGCACCCAGCCTGCTTTGTGCAGGGACAGACCACACCCAGATTGCTAGGTCAGTCCCATGGGTCAGCCAGCCGCAGCAGATAGTGCAGGGCCATGCCGCACCCAGCCTGCTTTGTGCAGGGACAGACCACACCCAGATTGCTAGGTCAGTCCCATGGGTCAGTCAGCCGCAGCAGATAGTGCAAGGCCATACCGCACCCAGCCCGCTAGGCCAGCTGCCGTTTTTCGGACGGCTCCACAGAGCCTCAGCACGTGGTCCAGGGCCGGCAGCGCGTGCCTACCAGGTCAACCACGGGTCCGCCATGTCAATCACAGGGGTGGCACGGGCACGCTATGGACGGGCTGCCGAGACGGTCGACAGATGGCGCGCGCCGCCGTACGGACAGACGAGGTGCTGATGGATGGCCCGCAGGGGTACCGCAGAGGTGGGCGCTCTGTCACGCATGGTCACCACAGATAGACGGTACGCTCGCGGACGGGTCGCGGGAGCGCTGCCGACAGACGGGATCTCTCGAGCCACACGCTCGCCAGCGGTCTGAAGTCCAACATGGGCGGACGGGCCTGTCAGCGGCTTGACGCGGGTTTGCCGTGGGCTGTCATAATAGTCACAGATGGCCCAGACGCGATTACGTAGGCCTGATAGGTACGATAGCTGATCACAGACATTGTTTATGGTATTGAGACCAAGGCGGACGATGTGTTTTTCCGTAGAGGGCTTCGCAAAAATGGGCAGGAGTCACATTGCTTCCTGTGCACGCTAGGATGCCAGTGTAATGGATCTCAGGCTCAGCACATACCTTCAGTCTTTCCAGGGAGAGGTCGCAGGTTCATTGACAGTTGGTGCTGTCGTAAATGAGTCGAAAGCCCAGCACATGTTGATGTCTGGGAGAAGTCACTAACGCGGATCATTCAGTCTCCCAGTTCAGAATTGTCAGCAGTCTTGGGACATGTGGGAAAATCTCTGGGTCCATGTGATGCGACAGGTCTGGTCATTGTTTTACTTGGGATGCGGACGGAGGCGCTCAACAGCGTCGTCGGTATCATTCTGATCATCAGAGGCTGCACCGGCTGATTGTACCAGGCTCCTTAGCATCACGTTATCCTCGCACTAAACCTGAGATGGACCGACCCACTTTCACAGAATTGACTCGGGATGAAACAGTATTGTGCTGTTTGCCACCTGTCTATTGACGCGAAAACAACAGTATTGTTTGTTAAGCTTCCCTCAAAGCACGTGGTTGTTAAGGCATTGCAGCACGGTATTGTATGCTTTCATGTAGTGACTCGCAGTTGGCACCATTGCCCACCGTTGCCCTGATGTCGGCTGCATTGGTCGCTTGACCTACGGCGTGTGCTGTCGCCGCCCAGCGTGAGCCCGTGACCCGATCCGGTGGTGCCAGCTGACTAGCCCCGCTATCCCTGTGTTGGCCAGACGCCATGGGCATCCCGTCTGAGCCGCTGCCGGACTACATAGCGGGCGCCGAGCGGGCGCTGCACGCCGCCCTCCGCCACATGCGAACCGTTCAGGGGCCGTACGCGCTGCTGGTCAAGCGGCAGGCGTTCTCGCCGCATGCGCTCGAGCTAGAACCGGCGTTCGAGTGAGTCTGCAGCGGGACGAGCATGCGACAAATGCCCAAACCAGCTGTGCTGCTGTAAGAGAAGCGTTGTAATGTACTGCCTGTTACCCCTCCCCCCTCCCCCCCAAAAAAACTAGGGAAAGCTTCTCAGCTACGAGCGTTTTTGCTGAATGTTGAACTGTAACTCATATTTCTGGGAATGTTTTCACTTGTTTGCCCTTGCATAACTGATTTGCTCACATGTGGTTAGTCGGATATGTACTTGCCATTCGCTTGCTGTGTCAACTACCTACACGCATACTGATAAAGGCAGCCGGGGGCTGCCGTCCCACGCGTTAGGAGCGTGGCCCAACCACCTGGCCGCCGTCGCTGACCGCCCGACCCCGCCGCGCTAGTTCGCCGCTCAGCCGCGAGGCGGCGCTGCAACTGCTGGCCGACGGGCTGCACGACCGCGACGTGCTGGTCAGCACCACGGGCATGGCATCGCGTGAGCTGTTCGAATACCGCGTGGCGCGCGAGCAGGGCCACGAGCGCGACTTCCTCACGGTCGGCTCCATGGGACACGCCTCGTCCATCGCGCTTGGCATCGCTCTGCAGAAGCCGGCGAGGCAGGTGAGCTGATGCGGCGAGCAGGCGTGCTGATGCGGCGAGCAGGCGTCTGACAAGGGGAAAAGACACAGGGCTCTGGCGTGGGATGGAGTGTTGGTGAGGTTCCTAAACTGGTTGTGGACCGTAGACAGGCATATATGTGGTATATGCCTCAGTCATTTTTGTTCGGCCTTCCGTGTCGGGCTGTTGATCCGAGTGAGTGCTCGATAATGTTTTTTTTCTGTGTTCCGTGGTGGACCTTGATGATGGATGAATATCCGCCACGTCTTCATCCGGCGTCCAGGTCACTCGTTCCTTTTGTCCCACCTCTCCGGAGGCATCTGTTTGGGACACCATGCGACCCTGTGTGGAAATAATTCGCAACGCTCTCGACACGGACGCTGGTGGGGCGCGTTGTTCAGCGAGTCAGCGTGAGTCCGCCGTGTTCCGTGCGTCGGCCTGCTCACCACCGCCGGGACTGGCCGTCGCGCGCCCCTGCCGGCCGGCTGCTCGGTACTCACCCCCTCCCCCTCCCCTGCCGCCAGGTGGTCTGTCTGGACGGTGACGGCGCCCTGCTGATGCACATGGGCTCGCTGGCCATCGTCGGGCAGCGCCAGCCGCGCAACTTCAAGCACGTGGTGCTGAACAACGGCGCGCACGACTCTGTGGGCGGTCAGCCAACGGCCGCCGCCGACCCTGCCTCACTCGACATCGCGCAGGTGGCGCTGGCGTGCGGCTACCGTCAGGTGAGCGGTCGCCAGCAGGCGCCGATTTGGTGCCGCGCCTTGCCAGAGTCTGTCTGCCGGGTTGAGGAGGCTTGACTGGGTCAGGTCGTGCCGCGAGCCGGCGCCGGCTCTGGTGTCGTGTCTTGCCGGTCGGTCTGACGCGCTGGAGGAGACTTGACTGGGTCCGGTCGTGTTTGTGTCTAGTCCGAATTATTGAGGCTGCTCGTTGTGGCTTACCGTAAAAACGTAGCTGATGTGCCACTGTATTCGTGAGGTGGTCGCACTCTACTGAAATCGGTACAAATAGCTGTACACCAGTCACGTGGTCGGTCACTCATTCGACAGAGAGGACCTACCGACGTGTAGTGGGCCCGCCTCCCCACCTCTTCCGTGCCGATTTCGATGTCAGCCCGGTCTTTCCTGCGTGGCTCGGCCACCTGTCTCACACCCATCGATGTCATGCCGTCCCTGCTGCCAGCCCAGAGCTGCGGTAGGTCGGCGCCGCCGCTGACCGCTGGCCGCCGGCAGACGATGCGGGCCGAGACGGGGCCGGAGCTGGCGGCGGCCGTCTGCCAGCTGCGCGCCGCCGATGGGCCCGTGCTGCTGGAGGTGCGCGTGGCGGCCGGCGCCCGCGACAACCTGGGCCGGCCCAGTCGCTCGCCCGTCCAGAACAAGGCTGACCTCATGCAGTTCCTGGCCACCGACTGAGTGCGGGGCCGCGGCGGCAGGCAGCGAGGGCGCCGGCCGCCCCGCGCCCGCTCGGCGGGAGCGGGAAGGAGCGGAGGCGTTGCGGCTGGTGCGGTCGGTCGCGGATCCGTGGCTGTTGCCGAGGCGGTTTGCACTCCGACACCGCCGAGGGCACGGTGCGACCCCGCCCAGCGTTGATTTAACCAGGGTAACTAATCAAATTGGTGCGTGGAGGCTCGCTGGGCCTCCCGTGAAGACGCCGGCTGTCTCACATAGCACCGCGTGCTGACGTCTGACGGACGGCCGCAGGAGGAATGCGTGCTGATGTCTGACGGAGGACCGCGTGCTGACGTCGCGGAGGACCGCGTTAGGTGCTGCGCGCTGCCTCTCACCACCGCTGCCGGTCTCGCTTACGACCGGACGTGTCCACTTCACTGCCATTCACATTCACTTTACTTCACACATTCCCGCTTCCGAATTACAAGACAGACGGGCGCTCGCCAGCTGGCGTCTCGCGGCATGACGTCACTGACTTCACGCTGTGATATAGGCATTCTGCGATGATTTCCTGTGACGGTGGCGGCCGTGTTCAGGCTCCCGATGAGCCGTGACATTCTTCATGCAGCCCTGCCTCACGATAGGTGGCAGGCAGAGTGCCGCGCGCCGGTCACGAGATTGACAGACTGCGAACTTTCCGAGATGCTAGTCTATTTGGCCATATTACTGTTCTTCGGTCCGGCTAGTCCGGCGCTTTATGGGCGCGCATGCTCGGCGGCCAACGAGCCCACGTGTGTCGTGTTGTGATGCTTCCATGTCCATTAAGGTGTGTCATCGAGGGGGTGAATTTCTTGCAATCAGCTGAGACGAAGCTTTTCTTCGGCACACGGATGAATAAAAAACTTTCAGGTCCGTCGTACCGCACCAATGTTGATATTCGTGAGGCGGAAGCAGTTTTTCTTTGATAGTACAAGGAAGCCGTATTCGATACTAGCGCCACCTATTTTACGCACTGGGATCATCCTCCAACAAGCCTCAAAGCTGCCACATTCCACACTACTGGTACTTGGTGGATTAAGTATGAAATATATATATATATATATATATATATATATATATATATATATATATATATATATATATATATATATATATATATATATATATACATATATATATATATATATATATATATATATATATATATATATATATATATATAGTGTGTGTGTGTGTGTGTGTGTGTGTGTGTGTGTGTGTGTGTATCATGAAGAGCACCAGCAAAACATTGCCAGACAGCTTTTAACCTGACTTTTTAGTAAGGAACATTAATTTTTGGCAAACCCAAGCTGTGCAGTTATGAGAATGCTCCAGCAGACCGGGTTAGGTCTAAGTCCGTTATTGTTAACACATCCCTGTGATGTGATGTGATGAATTCATGTGGTTTTTGCGTGAGAGATATGGGTTTATTAGTTTAGTTTCGCCGGTACTAAAACATTTATTTCGAACAATTACTTGCATAAGCATGCCGAGGGCCACACGGTCACGCACAAAACATTTTGTGATAGGCCACCCAGCTCTACCGTCCCATCACCAACTGCTGACTACGGGAAAACATCGAGCTACATCAGGTGACTGAGCGAATCGAAGAGGTATTTCACTAATACCATCTTCAAGACCGCGACGATAGAAATCAGGGTACTGTGGACCAACGAAGCGATCCCTGTTCATGATCTAAGATACGTGGCAAAATTGATCGAGAGGGATTGATGTCATCCCAACAGAGCTATCAGCAAGAGATCAAAGAAAGAGTGACACAGCAACGCCGCCACTGCGAAATTCAACGAGCTTCTTGATGTCGCGAAATGCTAGTGCAAGCCTCAGTGCAGCTTTCCATGCCCAGTTGCCTGCTCAGTGTATCAGGGGGAGGTTGCCATGAAGGACCAGTGCAGGCACCGGAAGCTTACGCTGAGGTCATATGACCGGGATGCTATTGTAGCTAGGGGGGCTCGCGAAATGAGGAGGATAACTAGGCAACTCCAGGGGCGTCGTGGCTCGGCCACCAGTGAGGCGGTATCTGCTGCTGAACCTGAATCGCCCTCCCCGCCGACTGCTGAAACGACGCCGTCTGCTCAGCCTGCGCTGGCTACAAGTGCTGACCCGAGCCTGCTCCGAGACCATGTGGTCTCAGCGCTGGAGAGTTAGCCGAGAGCACGGATTCCTACACGGTTCCGTACATGGTAGAAGGTGGCGACGACGCCGAGTGTTCGTTCCGGTTGAGACCACCGTCCCTGTATATGATTACGTCATCGGTCTGACTAACACCGCTCTGGCAGTTGGCAACTACGGTGGCTCAAACCGAGCCACTGCTGCCATTATCAACGCCTTTGAAGAAGACAGTAGAGACGGACTGGCTACTTGAAATCAAATATCGTAGATCCTAAGAAGATCTGCTGCGCAAGAGACAGAACGAGAAAGGAGACAGCTCATTAAAATTTTGAAGCAATCCACGAGTCAGGTTTGACCATCCTCTACTTCGACGGACGCGAAGGCAAGAGCTAAATGAGCCACACGGGGCCAGACGGATGCCGTCGAAAAACACGTGGCTGTCATCACTGAGCCAGGCAACCGCTACGTGACTCATTTTACGTCCGAGTTTGGTCACGCCCTGCACTTGTTCAACGACCTATACTCCATGAGCCCGCAGCGCGACGTCCGAGCATCAATGTGCTCGGTTGCGATGGCACAACCGTCAACGCCGAAACGATAGGCGACGTGTTCCGGCTGTTTGAGCTGGCCACCGAGTCACCCGTACACTGGTTCATCTGCCAGCTGCACGGCAACGAGCTGAGCCTCCACCATCTGCTACGAGCTTGGACGGCACGACCACGGGATCGAATTTTTTTACTGGACCCATCGGCAAGACCTGTGCCGGAGAGGTCTGGGAGAGGGACGTTGTGGTATTCAAGCCTAGGTCGGGGTACATGCCAAACCTGCCGGTCGACCTGATTCGGGAGCTGAGCACCAACCAGCAGTTGCTGTACCTTCTGGCCGCCGGTGTTCAAAACGGCTCTGTCCGAAACGTGACAGCCCAGCTGCGAATCGGACCATCAAACCATTTCAGGTAAATATGAAAACGCATTATCTTCGAATGTACAGCAATGAGTAAGTAAAGTTCATCAAGTATCAATTGGTATTTCATGTGCTCACTGTTGAGCATTGATTATCATACCTTGTGCTGTAGTATGTCGCATCATTTGATGGTTAGTTCATGCTTACCAGCATATTTGTTTATATGTAGTCCGTCATATTTAAGGACTCTGGATATCGGCATAATTACAAACACTAAAGAGGCGCAATTTTTTGTATGATCTAATGATAAGTTCGTAGCGCATTGTTGTAATATATTCGCTTTGTTCTCAGATGGTTGGCACTGGCCGCTCGTCTGCTTCTAGTTCACATCTCTACCGAGACCTACAGCAGCGCTCTCAAGAACCTCGTCCAGTGCGTGGTCGGCCACTATGTGTCAGTACGGTTCGTCATCCGACAAAACAGCGGCTCCGGCTTACACAGCTTGTTCCGGAGCATCGCGCCGCTCCGCGGCCTGCCGCAGCACACATAGGCCACGGTGCAGCCAGTCCTCCAGCGTAACGGGTACTGGGTCCGTCCGGAACTGCTGCTGCTGGACATGGTGTGGGATGAGAACCGCATGGTCCGCGAACAGGCGGTTCCGATCCTCGCGCCGCACGTGAGCAGCAAACCGAGCGTTTCCTTCAGCCCAGGATCTTCGCCATCTCAGCGGTAAACTTGGAGGCCGTGAGGTACACCGAACTGATTCCCTGGCATGGACCAGTTACACGCCCTTCACTGCGAGACCTCACCGACTGCGGGCTGCGGAACAAAGTGCAGGCACCGCTGGCCATCTTGCCCTATCTGGTCCACACCAGAAGTGCGACGCAGCGCTGCACTGCCGAGGACGTCTGCGACCAGGACTGGACCTTCGGCAAGATGTGGAGCCTAGCTACGAAGGTATTTCTGCTACCGTGCGATCTCTGCTGACGCGCGTTTTGGGTTTACAGTCTGTAAGCAATTGCTGTTTGGGTCGGTGCATCGAATACACGGGCTTGGCAACGAGCAAGACATGCATGGGGTCTCCCTACGCCCGTAGTACAGGCTGCAGAACTTGCTGTGTGTATTGAGTTGCACACCAGACAATATATTCTAGGTGATATGCCATACATAGTTTTGTTTGCATCACGTGAGTTGTCTTAGAGGAGTGAAAGTCGAAAGCATTGCTAACCATGCTAACCATTGCATGCTAACCAGCATACTCGTACGAGTTCATACTCAACGGCACATAAGTTTCCACCAAATGGCAATCAATCGGGCAATGTCTGATCCGCATATTAGACCTTAGACCGGGACATTCTCGTGCGACAGCATAAAGAGCGCTCGTTAGCATCGTTTCTATACGCAAAGGTATTTTGGGTCGCTTGCCGCCCGCGGCTTGGTGTCACCTGCGGCGGCGGCCACCGCCCAGCATGGGGTGACTGCAACGCCGGGTATCGATTTACGGCGATATTTCGATCGGCTCGCGCCTCACGAATTTAAGTTTCTGGGAAGAACTTTTGCCATGCCGTGTACTTCTGGACTCCTGCGCCAAAGAATTTCTTTGTCTCACAAGGTTTTGTTACTGATGTCACACCCTAATGTCCACTGTCCCTGCAATCATTGGTGCGCCGCGGCCCGGCCCGGCCGACGGGTCCTCAAGTGTACATTTACCCGGGCAACATACGTAGCCGGAACGAGGTCCGTATCCAACTGCCCGTCACACGCACATTCCCCGCTGACGTCGGCCGCCCCAAACGCCTCAAGCCATTCCCACGGCACGCTAGACAGAGGCGGATCCAGAGCGATGCAGGGCGTGACATCGTGTTGAAGCGGTCAAGAACCAATGCCATCAGAAGCTCCAGCGGGCACTCCAGACAGAGGCGGATCCAGAGCGATGCAGGGCGTGACATCGTGTTGAAGCGGTCAAGAACCAATGCCAACAGAAGCTCCAGCGGGCACGCTAGACAGAGGCGGATCCAGAGCGATGCAGGGCGTGACATCGTGTTGAAGCGGTCAAGAACCAATGCCATCAGAAGCTCCAGCGGGCACGCTAGACAGAGGCGGATCCAGAGCGATGCAGGGCGTGACATCGTGTTGAAGCGGTCAAGAACCAATGCTTCCAGAAGCTCCAGCGGGCAGCATCTTTTTTCGCAGTCTTCCGGTCACTCCTGGTATCTGAATGTCGTCAGTACAAGGACGGTCGTGGTAGTAATTGGGGCTCTAGGGTGCTTCGACTGTGCGGTCATGTAGCGCCCATCACTAAAGCGGTCAAGAACCAATGTTCTGTTCAACACGCGCTCGGGTGGGGGGGGGGGGGTCATTTAGCTTCTATCATTTCCGGTGACTTTGATTTCACAGCGGTGATTGTGAAATCAAACAACGGTTTTGGCAACGGTGATTTCATTTATCATCCAGCGACCTCTAGTCATTTCCGACCCAACATTTGGTATCTAAACCGCTGCATCACAAACTACTCTTTATTCCGCGGTCCTCCACCCTAGACGGCTTACGCCATAGTCGCTAGATGTCGGGCGGCCACATACTACGGTTTAGGAACCAAATTGCATACACATCACCGCATGTGCATTATGTATGAAGGTCGGACCAGGGCTAAACCAACTTGTTTTTTTACTCGATAGCCTGCTGTATGGGGTAGTTTCTGGTGTTCATTTCGAATTTACTTATGCCAGGGACCACAACAGTTACCTTCTATGAACTTCTTAAGCGTCAATTTGACCCGAAGGTCTTGATCTAGGAACCTAAATCTGCCTTGCAAGTAAGTTTGCATACAGGCTAACCCACGGTATGAATTTGGTACTCGTTGCTCTCCTATTTTTAGAGACATCAAGGGGTCAAATTCCCCCCTCCGAATGAAGGGTATTCAACCTGCCACCCGGGCGCGTGCGACGGGACTAGTGCGAGAGCTTCTTCTTCCGGGGTCCTCCAGCCAGCCCTTTTATCTGAATGCCGTCACAATGCGTCACTCACGGACACCTGTAGCTGTAGTGTAACGTTTACCGTACTTCGCTAAATGTTGTTAATGTACGTCTGATGCATGGTTCCGCATCATAACGGTGCGCGATGCGATTGAAGTTACTTGATACACGTGACGTCAGCACCCTGTGTCATAACGATGCCTGGTCAAGTGGTATCAGTCGTGCGATGCGACTGATACCACTTGGTATGTACTATACTATCATTCCGTGCAACGTCTGTCTTCCTTGGCTACTGCCCCGGAGCGGATACGGGCCCGTTCAGCTACAGCGCTGGTCCAACTCCGGGAGGCCCCCCCCCCCCCATGTTAAGTCACGCGGCGTAGCCCAGCTGACTGACCTGTGATTGGCTATTGTGATAATAGTCAGACGTTGGATTACTATTCTCAAGTGTAAAACGAGCTGCATTCGTTTGTTCGTTACCTCTGTTCTCTCAGTGCGTCACTGCTTCTTAGTGTTTTTTTTTCGTAATCCGCCCATTGCGCCAAATAAACGTCTATCCCCATTTGTGTGTGTTGAAGAGAGATATAGCTGCCGTTTGTCAGGCTTGATCCCTGCACTTGCATGATGCCTACGGGTTTCAGTAGTCGAAACCAGTAAGTCGAGACATTCGGGTACCTATTTAGACAGTGTGCAGTTGTCGGCACTCACGCGCTGAGCAGTGGCAGGCTGACGCGCTGGCCGCTCGCGGGGCAGCGCACTGGGACGTCTCGGGTCACCGACAGGGCCGACCGGCGATTAATGCACTCTCGGTAGGCAGCATGCACATTATTCGCACAGGAACCCTGCGATGCGTCCAAAAAGTGCAAGCTCAAGGCGCAGACACGCCGTTAGTCAATGGTGACCTTGCAGCCAACCAACACCGAACACGCTACGGTGCCACTAGCGGCGCGAGAGGTCGTGGCTCGGAATCAGGGGGTGGCTTCTCGCACCTAGCATATATCTGGTGCAGCCGGCTACGACGCACATACCGGTCTGCTGCAGCTTCTAATGACGCCACTGTCCCTGACAGACTCCGGCGAAGGCAGCCATGGTGCGCTGGCCGGTTGTAGGCGCCTGTGATGACCGGGCACGGTATGTCGGCCCACCAAACACTCCTGAGACGACGCGTGGACGCCAAATAATCGCCCGTCCGAGGTTCGTGTGTTTAAAGCGGTGTCATCGGCCGTCGGAGGTTCAGATGTTTATGTTGTAATCGAGTGAAACCTCACACCTTCGGTTATCAGATCCGTGACAGATCGAACACATCGACCGGATTTTGTAGGCTTGGTGCACAGTAGTGCACCAAGCTTCACGCTAAGACTGGTGGTTCCTGAACAATATTTTTCAAACAACCCCCGATCGTATGACTGGCTTTCTAGGTCGCGATGAAGCTAACGGAGCCTACATCAACACGATCGTGCATGACATTTGCGTTATTATTACTCTTTAGCTGTATACAAAATTTCCGAGTACACTTCCACGACACAGTGTATGTACAAATGAGTGGTATCGAAACACGCGCACATCACGACTACAGGCCGCCTCGTGACGGCAGTAATGCGTTACCGCCGGCACGCACCGCGACAACAACAGAGAACGCCCGTCACAGCGGAGC